AAAAAAGCTGGGCGTGGTGGTGCATGACCATAGTCCTTTAAACAGTGAATAATATGCTCAAAAAAGCATATAGTATAACTTTTCCCAGAGTATAGAAATCTATAAAAAATAAATGAAAGGAAATTCTACAGCTGAAAAATAACTGAAATTCAAAACTCAACAGAAAATAACAATGAGATACCACTACACACCTATTAGAATGGCTAAAATCCAAAACCACTGACAACACCAGATACTGGCAAGAAATGTGGAGCAAAAGGAACTCTCATTCACTGCTGGTGGGAATGCAAAATGGTACAGCCACTTTGGAAGAGACACTTGGCAGTTTCTTACAAAGTTAAACATACTCTCACCATATGATCCAGCTATCACACTCATTGATATTTACCCTAATGGTCTGAAATATCCACATGAAAAGAAAAAAGGATGAAAAATGCAGAAAAGAGTATGAGACATAAGGGTCATATTGAAAAGATCTAACATATGTGACTGGAGTCCTAAAAGGAGAGGAGAGACAGCACAGCAGAAGGAACATTTGAGAATAAATACACTGGTCAAAACTGTGTGAAGATGGAAAATAAATGCAAGTCACACATTTAGGAAGCTCTAATAAATCCAGTCAGGATAAATGCAAAGGCCACACTTAGACATATCCTGGTTAAGCTTCTGAAAACCAAAGACAAAGAAAAGTCTTAAAACCAGCCAGAGGGGAAAAATAAAAGACACCCTACCCTTCAAGATGCAATAATAAAACTTCATCTTTGAAGTGTTCAAAGAAGATAATTATGAATCTAGACTATAGCTGCAAAAATATACTACAAAAAAAAAGGTGAAAAAAGACTTTTACAGACACGGAGTGAATGTATTGCTAGCAGATGGTCATTTAAGAAATACTAATGAGAGTTCTTCATGCAGAAAATTAACCCACACAGAAATATGAAAATGCTTCTGTCTGTACAGAATCAAGAACAATAGAAAAAGTAAAGATGTGACTAAATCTAAATAGACTTTGACTTATGAAACAATAATGTACAATTTAAAATATATGAAAAATAAAAACACAGGGTGTCCTAAAAGTCGCCATACATAGGGAAAATGGGAAATTGTAGCTAAATGTACTTTTATTTGTAAAATATTCATTACAAAATTTTTCAAAATTTACAATTTCCCATTTTCCCTATGTATGGTGACTTTTGGGACACCCTGTAGAAAGGATAAAAAGAGGCAAGGTATTCTGAGGTCCTTCCATTTTCCAGGAAGTGGTAAAAGTACTAAATAGAACTAATAAGACAACGGTACATGTTATAATCTCTAGAGTATCCCACTGAACCAAAAATAAGTGAATGTGTAACTATCAAGTTATTGGAGGGAACAGAAATAAGGGGAGAGGAAAGAACAGATGTGACAAACAGAAAACAGAAAGGTGAACAGTTTGAAACCAAACATATTGGTGATTGTGTTAAACGCAAATGGCTGTAGGTCAATAAAAGACAAATTTAAAAAACAAAACTCGTCTATATGCTGGGTTTTGGTATAAGGATAGACAACTATTTCAATGTAACATAGCAAAAAGTCCAGAAACAGACCTATGAAAAAACAGCCACTTGATATACGTATATGACAAAGATGTCATTGTAGTACACTGGAAAAAGGAAGGTTTTTTTTTTTCAACAAATGGTCAACTAGGGTCAACTAGTTAAATTCATTTGCGAAAAAACAAATCTGGATCCTAAACTCACATCATATACAAAATTTAACTCCAGGCAGATTATAAATCTAAATGTGAATGACACAAAAATAAAACTTTTATAAGAAAACAGGAGAATATCTTTGTGACTTTGAGGTATGGGAAGATTTCTTAAACAGAATACAAAAAACACTAAGAATAAAGGAAAAGATGAACTGGATTTCACTAGAATTGATAACATCTTCATTAAAAGATTCTTTGAGTGTAAAAAGACATACCACAGAGTGAGAGAAGACATTTGCAACACTGCACATGTATCCGAGAAAGGACTCATAACGAGAATGCATAATGAACTGCAATGAAATAGGGAAAAGGACTGAACAGGCACATCAAAAGAAGCAATCTAAAAACCCAATAAACATACAAAAAGGTACTTAAAACTCATAAGCCATCAGGTAAACATAAATTAAAACCAAAATGAGAGACTACTACTGCACCCACACTAGAATAGCCAAAACTTTAAAAACTAATAATACCAAGTATTGGGGAAGATGTGGAGCAACTAGAACTATGACACTCTGCTAGTAGAAATATGTATGCTACAACCACTTTGAAAGCGTCTTTGACAATACCTGATAATGCTGAGATACATACGCTCTACGATTCCACTCTTGTATAAACCATACAGAACTGTGTACATAGCGTGCACTAACACACATGAACATGAAAATTCACACCAGCACTATCAGTAATAGCCAAAATCTGAAGAAAAAACTCACAAACAACAAAGTATCTATAAAGAGTAGAATTACTAAATAAATTGAGGTATGCTTACACAATGGGATACTTACTACACGGTAATGAAAATAAATTAATTACAGCTGTTTGCAACAACATAATCTCAAAACATAAATAAAACAAGCCACACATAAAAAGATATATATAGTATGTTTCCATTTATATAAAGATCAAATACCTACAAAACTAATCTAGACAGAAATCAAAATAATAGTTACCTTTAACTGAAGCTGGAACAAGAGAGGATTGTGGAAGTACTCGTAAATTTTTTTTTTGATTGAGGAATAGTTGTATGAGAACATTCACTTTGTAGAAATTCATCAGTTTCCACACTATGATTTGATAATTGTATACCTCTCTGTATTATGTT